CGAGTGGTCCATCCATCAAACCCATGCCTCCTCTAGTCTTGACCCATAAGCTCTCTGTCAGCTCCTCCTCCGACCCCAGGCGAAGCTCCACGCACTCCAGCTGGTTGCTGACATAGAGAGCAACACCCCCTCCTCGTCTCCCCTTCCTGTCCTTTCTAAAAAGCTTATACCCCTCCATGTTGACACTCCAGTCATAGGAGTCGTCCCACCACGTCTCCGTGATGCCAATAAGGTCATAACCCTGCTCATGTGCACGCATCTCCAGCTCATCCTGTTTATTTCCCATGCTGCGTGGGTTGGTGTACAAACACTTCAGCTGGGCCCCCGACAAAGCCGACTCGCTGGCTGGAGCAACAGGGGTTCTCTTGGACGGCAGTGTAAGGTCATTTGAACATACCTGTGATCCTTCCTCAGCCTCTGGACCCTTGGTGCTGGCACTGGCGCCATGCTGACAGCGGTGGGCTGAACTGTGCTCCCCCTCTCCCAGCAATACTACTTTAAAGCTCTTTGCACAAGTCTGGCCAGCCTTTGTCCAAGCACCTTCTTCCCCTTCTCGGTTAGGTACACGCCATCTGCCCCTAGCGACCCAGGCTTCTCAAAAATCACCCCGTGGTCAAAACCTTTAGAGCTTCTTGCTCTAAAGGCAAAAATAAGATTAAAACTGATAGATAATTAGTTGGAATTTTTAATAAAGTTTTAGATTTGCTCCATCTCTCTTTTTAATGAAGTGTTTGTTATGTCTGCAGAGATTCAGTGCTACTTTTACAAGGCCATCATGTTTTCCATGTTATCCAAATACTCCAGCGTGAACCTCTGTTTACATCTCAGGCTGGGCTGCTGCTTTCAGTTCATGGCTGAAATCCAGACCTGGGCAAAAAAAAGTAGCACTTCCTAGAAACCCTTTCCTAATTGCCTTTAACCTTCGTGTAGGCTGGGATGGGGAAGCACGGGAGAAAGCTCCAGGCAGGGAAAGCAGAGCGCCCAGGAGATAAGCCTTGTGCTAACAGTCAGAGGATAAACAGGGATTTTGGATCCATTGCCCTTGGATTGCACAAATATTTAATTCTTCCAAAAACAAACAACGAAGGGAACGGAGTAGTAGAACCGTTTATGAACTCCAGCTGCTCGATCCGCGAAATCAGGAAACGATGTCCGAGGGGAAAAGAGCACAAACACGTTTGAAGTTGCTTTGATTTTTGATTTCAGCCATTTTAAAGGATTAAAATATAAGAGCGTGTTCTGAGGTTCCCTCCCCTGCTCTCCCCTGGGAAGGCTGTGGAAGCAGCAGCTCTGAAATCGCTGTTCTCGCACGGAGTATTTGCTGCTTGGCCACGTGATCAAAGTTGGAGGTGGAATAGATATTCCCCATAAAAATGTCCCTCAATAAGTGCTCCCTGCTCAGTATTTAGGAGGACAGGAAGAAACACGCTGGTGTTTTAATGCTGCTCTGCTCTGGCTGTACTAGAGTTGTAATTTGTTATATTAGCATCTGGGTGAAAACACGAGAAATAGCTCTGTCACAGCCTGCTAAGGGAGACACTGGCACTGTCTGTTTTAAGCTACTTCTAGCACCTAACCACCTCCTGGGTGGCAGCTGCCTTCCCCTATAGACAGCCTGGGGGGAAGGCGTGTGTGTTACGGGGATGTTTTAGGGTTTGGTTGCAATATCTAGAGCAGATGAGCAGCGGTTTGGCAACAAACCTCATGTCTAAGGTGAGACAAAAATCCCCTGCAAGAAATGCAGGGTCTGAGGCTCAGCTCAGGCGTGCAACGTGAACCAGAGCTACTGCACCCAGGAGATGGGCTTGACACTGCTGCTGCAGGTCCCATGTGTTCTACGTATTTTGAATAACTGCATGAAAACAGAAAATCAAAATGTCTATCTTCTTTCTTCTATATGCCATACAATCCTCTCACATTTTTCGTGTGGGACATATGGGCTCTTCTGTTGTTAATTTTACATGGATGAAGAAACAAACTGTAGCCAGTGAAGGCCTCTCTGGGATGAAGGAGGATGAATCCGTGCACATGGAAGAGGCAGCTGAGTACAACCCATCTCTCTGTTCCCTTGCGTGGTCTTGGACTATTTCCTTCAAACTTCTCCTCAGTTGTCCAAACTTAAACGGAGAAAAGCTGTCAACCTTTGCCATGTTATTGCTTCCTCTGAAGTGGCATTTACCCAAGTAAATATATTGACTTCCAGTGATGTGTTTTATTCTAAATGATATTCTTTTCTTTCTTGTCCTAGCTGGGAAAATGCAAGGGATATTCAAGAAAGCCTCAAAAATATTTCAGCAAACCTGTGTTCTCCTATGGAAAAATACTCTTCTGGTGTGGAGGATGAAGACAGAAACTTTTCAGGCAAGTATCTCTTATTCCAAAGGGAAGTTAGGGTTTCCACCATGAGGGATTTTTACCTTGCGTTGTTTTTGTGCTAGGTGACATATGAGAAGCCTCAGCTGGTAATGTGGTTCTCTGGAAAATGTCAGCCGTTACACTTCTTCCCATGAGACTGCAATATCACGGCATAGTAAGGGCTCGTTACAAAGCTGTTTTGTTGCTTTTGGTTGTTGATCCCAGTTCCGCGGTGTCCAGAAGAACACAATGTCCGCTTCACGATTGCGGGTGTAAAATTATCAGCAGACCTCGTTGGCTCTGATACCAGGAAAACACGTTTTTCACTTGGAACATTCCTCATATTTTAAAATTATTACCCCTGTGGAATAGCTCTTCCTCATTTACAGAAGGAAGGCATTCATGGCCAGAGGAGCTGGACCGTGCAGCCAGAGGAGCGCTGGATGAGAGGAGCCCTTGGAGACACTTTCCATACCACCCAACCTCCAAGTCACTGAGTTGCCACTCACCTTTGCTTTCCTTCCCTCCATCTAGGAATGGATTACATCAATGGTTTTTCTCTTAATAATACAAACATCATCAAATATGATAATTCACCACCCGCGGCAAGAAATCCCTTACGACTTCCTGGGACGGTTGGATGATCCAGCCTTTAACGCGACAGGAGTTACACTCATCTACACACCTGTCACAAACACCACCAGGCGAATAATGAGCAAAGTGGCTTCGGATTCTGCAATGACGGGTAACGCTGCTCTTAAATCCTTGTTATGGCAGCAGTGCCTGAACTGACCTTGACACAGTCCTCATTGCGGTGGGGGGAGAAAAGCATTTGGACAGCACAATTTTTGAGGGTACAAACTGTGGCTGATGCCCGTTTTCATGTTGTTGCATGACTAATCAAAATTTCAGCTGTGGAACTTTTATTCTTTTTTTTATTTATTTATTGATGTATTTTATGACAGGTACAATAATAGAAGAGGTGGAGAATGAGGAAAAAATGGAAACAAGAGGATTTTTTGAGGAAGAGATTATTGGTGTTGTTTTTGAGGATGACTTCTCCTACCGTCTCAGATTTCAGAGCTACCGTGTGGTGTCTCCAAATGATGCCTTTGAACACATCGGTAACAAAATAAATGAAACCAGAGAAGTTGATTTTGCATTAAAAAATGCTTAGGTGGATCTCTGTGTTGCCATCTACTCAGAAGGGATCGAGGCTGTGTGTGCTGAGTGCTTCAAGAAAGATATTAATTAGGATTTGAGGTTTTGTTCACTTAGAAGGAAACAAGTGTCAGAGAAAAAAGTTTTTAAGACATATACACATTACCCACAGGCCTTTTCCTCCTTCTCTCTTCTATGTCTTACCATGTCCAATCATGCCTGGAAAACGAGCATTGTGGTGTAATATACTTTGAATATCCAGTGCCTGGACATATATTTAATGCATTCAAACACAAACCTGCCCACACTTATCCGCATCGGTACTTCTTCGACCAAATGCACCTGTATTTACTGCCTAAAAGCAGTAAACTATCTGAACAAAAAGCAAGATTATTATCAGATAAAAATCAAGTGAGTTTATCAGTTGATGGGCAAAAAAAAAAAAGTATTTTGCGAAGAATTGGTCTTGGACAATGGAAATGATGGAGAGGCTATTTATTCTGTCTACACCAGTCAGCAGCTCTTTGCAGATGTGACCCAGTTTCAGTGGACTCTGCGTTTCCTGGAGTTGCTCCTCTCCAGCCCTTGGTGTTGAGCATGTTTATGGTCACCCTACTTTGAGCCCAGGCTCCTGCCAAAGCAGGAGAGCTGAGTGTGGCCAGCTCTTCTATGCTGTGAAGACATTGTTGCTGCCACGTCAGGTGGCTCATGGAACCAAAGCCACCAAATCCCAGTACCACGTATTCTTGGAGAAAATGCCTGCTCCAGGAAAAAAGGCTGAGTAAAGCTAAATCATGATTTCCTGTCTTAAGTCAAATGCATTTTCAATCCCTCACTTGTACATAAGCATATATATATATATACACATTTATATGGAAATATATAGACCAAATTCTTCATCTTTTTTTTTTTCCCCACAGATACCTGCCCTGATTTTGTATCAGGTAACTGCAAAGTCCCTCTGTACTGGTACGCAGGTTTCCTATCAGTGCAGTCCAGCATCGATGCAGCAGTCATAGAAGTAAGTATGATCATGATGGAAAATGTATTTTCTGTTCTTTCCAGAGTCATCTGTAAGCTTAAAAAACCAACTAACTAAAAAAAAAAAAAAAACACCAACTGAAATCAGTTCATTTTCTGTGATCGTTAACTTTTTTAATACATAATGTGATACAAAAGTTAAAAGAACGATAGATCATTCTCATGGCTCAAGGCAATACAAAAACATACTAAATATTGAGATTATTTGCCATTATAAATGTAACATTGTTATTGACAAATTAATAATTTTAATGCTTACCAAAACCTCTTTGTTCTGATGTTGGCTGATTCATTACAGAAAATCAAATCAATGGCTAATTTCTTTTCTTTAGATAAAAACAAACCATTCTGTCTGGGAAGAGATGAAGTCGATCAGCGGCGTTCGTCTGAAATCACCCTTGATCAAACCTGTGTATAAACTGGTTTATTCTTGGTTCATTGTTTACATTGTATTGTGTTTCTGCCCAAATATGTACTTTTTATCCGTGAAAGTCACAAGAGAGAAAAAGAAGCTCAAGGTATTAATGAGAGCAATGGGTTTGCAAGATATTGCCTTCTGGTAAGTCTCATAGAAATAAACTGTGTAATTACAGGAATGACATTAATTCACGTGTATATGGGATGTATACCAGCTTGCAGGATGGATGTGGGTTTGGTACCGCTCAGCTGAGAAGCAGTAATTCCCCAGACCCCAGCAGCAGTCACATGCAATTGCCTAACCATACATCTGGGCTCTCTGAAGCCAAGTTTTGCACATTATTGAAGCAAAACCTTCGCTGCTTTTATCTGTAATGGACTGTTTGCTGGAGGACCTCAGTTTCCAAGCGCGTTGCTCTGATACAGGAACTTTTTTTTTTTTTTTTTTGTTGGTTTTACTTAGCTCAGCTCTCCTCCCCCAAAAATAGAGAAAGAGCATTCTTCGTGTAGCAGAGATGCTTGTAGCAAGGTTCTTGGTGTTGAGGTGTCGCTTACCTCCAGGAAATGGGTGGGTAAGTGCAGAGAACACAAAAAAATGAAGAAACAACACGTTTTGGAGAAGACTGTAAATGTTGAAGTACAGGGGGCCATAGGGTCTATCAAAACAGACTTCCGAAGCCTTCAAGCACGAATATTTCACATCAATAGGAAAAGCATAAAAATGAGTGTTCCTGGCTGCAGAGCCTGTGCTTAGATGCTCTGTGGCTCTTTGCTGGTATCGTTGCATCTGCAAAGATTTGGACAGGTGCAAGACAGTGATATTTGCACCTTTTCAGTCTGGAAACTGTAAGTGGAAGTGTATTTGGGAATGACGAAGTATCTGAATTAAAGAGTGTGTCTCGTACTGGCCACGTGATGGCATGTGCTGTCATGTACAGAGACAAAAATAGCTGTGCCTTCACTCGCAGGTTGTCCTGGAGCTTGCTGTACGCCGTTTACGTTGCAATAATGGCAAGTCTGCTGACCCTGATCACGGTTAAAGAAGTCATCCATGACTACAACTTTTTTGAAATGTATTTCTTTTATTTCTTTTATGGCATAGCATCAGTAAGTCTGCTTTTGTGTTCTTAAATGATGCACGGTTTTTTTTCCCGTTTCCTAATCAAAACATCTAAACCCCTAAGACTACAGAGTACTCTAGGGATGGGCACTATATGAGAAAGTAACAAGAACTTCTCTGCTACTGGGGTTTATTGTTGTAATTTGTAGGCTAATATATCACTCCTGTTACATTTTGAGAGATTCTGACTTGAAATCAGAGTAAAAAGAGGTGCTAACACTGGCATTAATGGGAAGACTGGGGCTGCCTTCTTGCATCCAGCCTCCTTGGGAGGCTGAGAGGGGTCTGATCCATCTGCCCCTATGGACCTCCCCTGAATATCAGAGCTGTCTGCTAAATGACGTGAGCCTTGTGATGTGCCATATGCATCTGTAGGGGACAACTGAAACTCAGCTGGATTTCTAATGCTTCTTGTTGAATTTTCACATTGTTACTTTTTCCTTAATCGCCAGCAGACACGTATCCCGCTAATTACTGATTTTCTCTGCTGCAGATCCACTTCTGTTTCATGCTCAACTCATTGCTAAAGCAATCAAATATTGCCAGTTTCGTGGGATTTGTCCTTCACATCATCTTCGGGTTGCTGGGTTTTTTTACATTGTTCGAGAAACTACCACTATCTCTGGAATGGATTTTTAATCTCTTCAGTCCGTTTGCCTTTACAGCTGGCATCTCACAGGTATGTTCAAAATTAAGCTGGCACATCATCAAAATTCAGCCCACAGCAAACGTGCAGCAGACTTCTGCCTGGTAACAGTAGCTGCCATACAGAATTTGCATTGCCGTAACGACCCAGTCATGCCCCTCTGCCCTAGGTGCTCTGTCAAAAGAAAACTTGACTCCAAAAAGTGCATGCTAATTCATAACAAATATAGTTAGGCTTTCAATTGCCTCACAAATTTTACCATCTCTATATACAATAAATTTCCATCTCTGGAAAATCATTGCAGCATGGGACGTGGCTGGTGGGTGCCAGGATCTGCAAGACCTGTGAGGTGTTGAAGTGCTGCCCCAGCAAATACTGTGTGCATCACTCTTCTGGTGTAATAACTTCTACACAATTTTGAATTCAGCTTACTGAAGCACTTCTGATACTTCTGGTCGTAATAAATCTCTGTCCTGCTTAGAAACAGCGTCATGATCATGAGTGGGCATGGGTTCCTGGTGATGAACGGTCATGATGACACAGCAGTGGCTTACATGTAGCATTTCTGTCTAAAGGAAGTGTTGCAGCTGATTTGTGCTTTTTTTTTCCCCCCCTAGATGGTAAATTTAGCAAAACATGGACCAGCCTTTACACCAGAATTGTACCCTTTCTTTAACCTATACCTCATACTGAACTTTGACAGTGTCTTGTATTTGCTGTTGACCATCTACTTTGATAAGGTTTTGCCTGGTAAGTAGAAATGTGAAGGGGAAAGAATACAAATTTGCTTGCATTTTTCTTCTATAATCCTCTTCCCTCACAGGGGGAAAGGTGCCAAAGAAGTGGTGGGATAGAGCTGAGAAAGCTGTTGTCTATGTGGAGCAGCAACAAATGTGTCCTGATAGTGAGCTGGTCAGGTTGTGGATCAGCATCTTAACAGCACTGAGCCATGAGCCATGCCATGTTTCATGAGGGGCTGAAAACTGGATTTGCTGTATTGCTTGGGGAAAAAATGGTTGGGAAGAATCCTGTTTTCCCAGAAGCTGGGGGCATGTAGCTACCTCATTTGACCCTGTCTCAAAAACAGGCTCCAAAAGGAACGTTAAATCCTGCAGTGAGGCACTAAGATTCTTAACATCAGGGCTCCAGCAGCCCTAAACACTGGGTTTAAAAGGATGTTGTAGGACTTGACCCGATTTTCCTGTACCTTCTGGGACAAAGAGGTGGTCAACAAGGTCTTTGATTGTTGCCTGCCTGCATTTACAGATATGGATGAGGGGACAATTTTGAATAAATTACCAATCCTTTTATGTTGCCAAAGGGCTGTATTCTGCACCTATAGAGGAAGAGATGGCTGCACATGACCTTTATCAAAGTTGAGTTGACGCATAGCAGTTTTTGGTTGATATTTCACCTTCCTTGTTTCTGAAACAGGCAAATACGGAGCACCATACCCCCCTTTGTTCTTCCTGAGACCGTCATACTGGTTCAAGCCCAGGAGTGAGTATGTGGGGGTGCGATCCAGCTGTGAGAGCAGTCATGATCCCATTCTCAGCAATAACACTGAGCCAATGCCTCCGGGCTTCGATGGGAAGGAAGCAATCAGGTAAGGGCTCTTGTAGGCATGAAAAATAGAGCGCTACGTGTTATCCTTGACTTGAGAGAGCAGAGCCACACTGCACTGGGGAATGTCAGACTGAGACATCTAACACATACAGATAAGGTTCATGGCAAATACACGAAAGGAAGGGGTGGTTCTGTGTTTCATTCTGGATTTCAAGCTGGATTTGAACGTTTAGTGGAAGTGTTACCTCCTCTGTGCCAGGGACTGACCTGCTGCCCGCAATCTCCACTTTGCAGAGCAGCAGTGAGTCCGTTCCCCTTCACCATCGTCTTTAAGAACACTGCTGATGGAGTGTGCTGCTTAAGATACTGTTATTTACATCTTTACAGGGCTACTTTGGCCCACTGCTGTTGCTGCCTGTTGCTTATTATTAGAAAGCAAATATAAATCTACTAAAATAATAGCTGGGTCATCACTTTTAATTAAGTAACAACGTGTCATCTCATTCCCTAGTGTACACTCAAAAAGTATTCGTTGAGTTGCACTTGGAAACCTTTTAAACATCTTTTAGAAAAGAACATTAGTGAATTCTGCCTTTAAGCGTTCAAGAAATGAATTGTATAAAGCAATTCCTTCAGATGGACTTACACTGAACCCTGATGGTGATGAGCAGGACCAGTCCGAGGAGGAGGCTGAGGAATACTCTTCCAATAGTTTTCAAAGGTTACTTCAAGGCAGAGGAAACATGCCAAAACTGTGAGCTTTTGTGATGACTTGCTTACCTTTCCTTTAGACTAAACAACATTAAAAAAATATACAAGAAGAAGGACAAGAGCACCGAAGCCTTAAGGGGTAAGAGAGGTTTTGGAATTCTTTTAATTTAATTTTTCACTAGATGTGAACCCAAACTATTTTGAAATGTACTGGTTAGTCTTAATTCTGCCTCCTGCACTGTTAGAATGCATTATGCAATGGTTATTTCTGCTGGGCTAAATTACTGGCCAATTTCAACCAAGTTGCTACCTTCCTGTTTGCTCCAGGAAAATTATTATTTTTTGCAACAGCAAAAGTCTCCTTAAAAGCTGTAGATCTTGCAGCCATGAACTGCTATAAAAATTACCTCTCAAACCTCCCTTTCAAAACATAAACTCTTCTGGGCAAACAAAACTTTTTTTTGGTCGCTGGCTAGAGCCAAGTCTGCTGTCGCTGCCCGAGCAGTGTTCCCCAAGCCAAGGCATAGTCATAGCAGAGTCGTGGGATATCTGTTAATGCCTTTGTTTAGCAAGAACTCCAAGTGACAATATCAGTGTGATCTCAAAGGTTTATATTGATTAAAAAAAAGAACAATCCAAACAACTCACAAAAATACAAAATAAGTCTTTTTTTTATTTTTAATAAGGAGATGTGGGAGCGAAGCCTGACTGCTTTGAAATAACTCTTGAAATCTCACGTGTTGGAAGGGCTGTGAGCTCTTCTCTTTCTGTGGACTCTCTCTTGAGCCATGCTAAAATAAAATGCAATGAACCTCATAAAAAAACAGATGTCAAAACTCTTTAAATATTGAAGTTAATACCCTTGTCCCCTCAATTCAGTCAAGACCTGATGCAAGTTACTTACTAAGTTTAGTCCTAACTTCTGAAGATGCAATCCATGGTTTTGGATCTGTGTTTTTGCCTCTCAGCTTCAAAAGCAGTGTCGCTCTCCTGTCACACTTGGCAGCAAGCTACAGGTACCAGTCTATTTCTCATGAACTTCCATCCTAATGTTATTCTATTTCTATTCCAGGTTTGTCCTTAAATATATATGAAGGACAGATTACTGCATTACTCGGTCACAGTGGATCTGGAAAAACCACTCTCTTACATGTGCTCAGTGGATTCTCCAAGCCTTCAGCAGGTAAGACAATGGACCTGAACGCTGAAGAGGAGGAGCTGTTTGTTTTTTCAAGTGTGAGGCGGTAAAGACGCAAAAAAAATCAAGTTTTCCCGCACTCATTTGGTCTGGCTCCTTGTCAGTGCAGATTGCTCCTTCAACATGAGCTTCAGGGCTAACATCCCTTGTGGACACGCATGTGTGCAAGTGTCCACAGATGGTTATTTCTCCATCTGGATGGCCTGATGTTTTCCATGAGCTGCATACCTATAGGAAATATGTTTTAGTTCATAAGGGAGAGATTTGGTGCTCTGAAATATTTTCGAGTGGTATTAAAGCTTTGGACAACACAAAGTTGTTTTGCCTTTCTTTAAAAAAAAAAAAACACACAACAAACACAAACCACTTGAGAAGCACCCACAATACTGGAATTAATGTCAAAGGTAAGAACACAAAGCAGTCTACTTTCCCCTTATAACTGGGGAATACTGTCCAGCATGAAATGTGTTTCATTCATTCCTGTGTGCAGGTTCTGCAATGATATACAACTACAAAGTGTCTGAAGTACAGGATATGGAAGGAATTCAGGCAATGGTTGGGATTTGCCCCCAGTTTAATTTGCATTTTGAAGCCTTAACGGTGAAGGAAAACCTGAGAACTTTTGCTCACATCAAGGGGATTCAGCGGAAGGAAGTAGAGCAAGAGGTTGGTGTGTGCTTGTCTGGCCTCTGCTTTATGGCATCGTGGGCACTTTGAGCTTTCTTTATAAAGCTAATCACCATCATCTTGTTCTGTGGAAATGAGGACAACCCTAATGTAAGAGAAAAGTGTTTCTTCAATTCTTTCTTATGTCATAAGAGTTAGAATTCAGATTTGCAGTACTTAACCTCTAAGCAAAGCTCTTTGACATAAATAAGTTTTCAATCTTGAAGTTATACTCTTCTGTACCGTGTGTAGCCCTGTAGGAACTAAAATGAGACCAGTGCTTTGGAAAACTGGCTCTTGTCTTTGTGTATTGCCAAGGTGCAGAAAGTCCTCGTGATGTTGGACCTCACTGACCTTCAGGATGTCCGTGCCAACACCCTGAGTGGGGGACAACAAAGAAAACTGTCTCTTGGAATCGCAATTTTAGGGAATCCCCAGGTAGGGACTGGTCATATTTACACACACATAACACGGACTGCTTTAGCACATGGTTTTGCATTTTGATTTGGCATGCAGACGTTTGTACTTTTCCCCTGGCACTCTAAGTCTGCTTATGTACTAATTCACTTGGCAGATGGAAGATTCAAGGAATCTAGCAAATGAGAACTGTATTTTACACGAAAAAGGAAATAATATTGTAATAGGAGAAAGAGCAATAAAAATGGCTGATGTCTGAGGATGCGTTTTATTCTTAGAGTGAGATCATAAAAAGCACGACACGAAACGATGTAAGCAAGGAAGCGCTGGCTTCAACACGCAGAGCTCTGATCTTGTTTGCCTTTGCAGGTGTTGCTTTTAGACGAGCCAACGGCTGGGTTGGATCCCTGCTCCAGGCACCACGTGTGGAGCCTTCTGAAGGAACGCCAGGCTGGACGCGTGACG